GGTTAGGTCCGCACGGTTTCCCCTCCCCCGCGGTTAGGTCCACCATATCCCCTCCCAAAAAGTGAGTTAGAACTCCTATAGTTACCCTACTTTCATAATTCGAAAAGTATTTAATAAAAAAAAAGATTATCATTTTAAAAAAACTTTAAAAATTTTAATGGAGACTTCAAAGTTTTATTCAAGATTATTGAATAAAACTTTGAGGTGTCAATTAAAATTTTTAAAGTTAAATTTTATATTATAAAAACTATTTAAATGCATATTAATTATAATCAAATGTCAGAAACCACTTGGATTAAAACATAAGTCTTACACATTTAAGAATAAAATTCACACAGGTAAATTAATGCTTGGAATTTTTTCTATCGTTTGTAATTATAGAATACAAGATTATAGAATAAAATTTTGAGTCTCCATTAAAAATTTTGAAGTTAAATTTTATGTTATAAAAACTATTTAAATGCATATTAATTATAATAAAATGTCAGAGACCACTTTGCTAAGAAAATAAGTCTTACATATTTTATTTAAAAATAAAATTTAAATAGGTAAATTGATGTTTGAAATTTTTCTTTATCGTTTGTGTTAAGTCTTTCTAACCTTAATGTATATACTCTTCTGTATACCATACGTACTCTTTTATATAGCGATCTCATGTTTCTAGAATTATAAACAGTTCTAAATTACTCGAGTATTTAAAACTCTAGAATTTCAATAATTATGTAAAATATACATTCGGAAACATATATAAAATGTTACAATCCGATACGATATCTTTGTCACAAACACAGAGAGACATACACAGAAAAAACAGTTTTGCTAACATATATATATATATAAATCATACTATATCTACATCTAAATGTAATTATGTTCGAATATAAACGCAAATATGCAGTGTATTCTTGAAGCCAGATAACGCTGCAAGATGTTTTAACATAATAGTAAACAGTTTGAGCGCGCAACATGTTAATATTTCTTAAATTTACCAAAGGTAATTAATTTTCATATAAAGCTAATTTCTTTATATATGTGCATATACATAGAAATATATATATATGTATATATAATATATGTATATATAATATAAATATATATATGTATGTATATTTGAATCTATTAAGATTCAAATAATGCGGAATCTTTAAATACTTTGGCAAAATTATTTAAAAATTATTATCACCCCAATTTCTGTTTACATATAAAAGTATACATATATGAAGCTAATTATAAACACTGACTACGCATTACGGAATAAAGTTTTCTCGCTACGTTGAAGTATCCTTCGTATTCTGTCATATAGTTTGTCGTATCGCTAATAAAATTCCCGCCTGCCCCGTAATCGGAGAAACTATTGAACTGATAAAACGACTCCGGTATAGACTGAAAAGTATAAAGCATAAGAATATTTTATTAGATTTAAATATCGAAAGTTTTAAGAATGAAAATTTCAATTTACTTAATTCAATAATTACAAATGCTAAACTTGACAGAAGCGTGTACACATAAAGAATTGTACTAGTTAATTGCTAAACAGTCAAGATGTAATTATTAAGAATCTTCTGGTTAGTTGGGATTCCTGCAGGAAATAATTCTACAAAATTCTACAAAACTATAAAATGTAATTGCCAGAATCTAAGAAATTCTACGTAAATTTTAAAAGTGTTACAAAAATCGATATGAAAATGCTAAGATTGAAACACTTTTGTTAATTTCTGTAATATTCTACAAGTAAGCAGATGTTTTAATTCTTTAAGATTTTGCTGTTTCTCAAATTTTTTAAACTAGTAAAGTTTTGTACTAATTTTTACAAAATTGTACATTTTCATAAACTTGAAATAATTTCTTGATTTGAGAATATTGTAATCTCTGGTACTATTTCGTAGATATTTTTACAAAAAAAAATTAATGTTTCAATGAAGATATAAAAATTTCTTCAAATTTCTGTTTCAAGTCAATTTTTTGTAGTTATTTACAGAAATTTGTTTCCGTCAGGGCTGCCGGAAATAATTCTACAAAATTCTACAAAACTATAAAATGTAATTGCCAGAATCTAAGAAATTCTACGTAAATTTTAAAAGTGTTACGAGTATAAAAATCAACATGTAAGTGCCAGTAGTGGAACACTTTTGTAAATTTTTGTAATATTCTACAAGTAAGCAGATGTTTTAATTCTTTAAGATTTTGTTGTTTCTCAAATTTTTAAAACTATAAGCAAAGTTTTGTGCCGATTTTTACAAAATTGTACATTTTCATGAAACACTACTTGCAATAATTTCTTGATTTGAGAACATTGCAATTTGTGGCACTATTTCGTAGATATTTTTACAAAAAAATTAATGTTTCAACGAAGATATAACAATTTCTACAAATTTCTGTTTCAAGTCAATTTTTTGTAGTTATTTATAGAAATTTTTCCGCCGGCAACATGTGGCTGAAAAAATGTAATACTTGAAGACACTTTCAATTGATTTTGTTAGCCGAAATAACTTACGACACCGTAACGGTTTTCCTCGGTAAAAGTCGGTGGAAGGTTTGCGAACGAGCCAACGGCTATCAGGTCAGATTCGAGGGGTATATCGTGACACTGAAAGCGCTTAATGAGATCGTCAAATGTGGAAATCTGGGACGGATATTCTTCCGCTAGAAGATGGTGGGCCACTCGCCCGTTCCTCATTCTAAGAACGCCACCTAAGGCTTTAAGAACGGACATTCAAAATGATAATCTTATCATCTTCTTTAAATTGACATAACTAGATTGAACTGCTTATTACCAACAAAACGATTTTGTGGTATCTGAAAATGTCTATAAATAATGTCGTGCATTATTGTTATGATATCCAAGTTGGATTCGCGTCTCTTAGCGCGCACTCTGAGAACATTGCCCTCCTTGCCCTCGCTGACAAAGAAATTGCCCATAAAAGAACACATCATGTGGTCGGGATTGTCTATGGTCTTTATCCTTCTTTGTTCATTATTTGCATCCGCAAAGACTATACGACTCGCGTTCGTAAAAGTCGCAGGTGCTCGGTACGTCGCGTTCATAATGAGCTGCAACACAATAATTGCGCGCGTGAAAAATAAAGACCGAGAGCGATAGAATTGAGGCAAATTTATAACAAAAATTTCCAAGTTTCGTAATATAAAGTAAATGGTACGGAATTAATGAAATTAAATAACAATAAAGCAATTAGATTATAAGCAATTTATCACACAATTTGTTATCTCTTTTTATTCAGCAAGTTTTGCCGGAAATAATTCTACAAAATTTTACAAAACTATAAAATATAACCGCCAGAATCTAAGAAATTCTACATAAATTTTTAAAGTGTTATAAAAATGAACATAAAAATACTAGGATTGGAACACTTTTGTTAATTTTTTAAATATTCTACAAGCAGATGTTGCAATTCTTTAAAATTTTGTTGTTTCTCAAATTTTTAAAACTAGCAAAGTTTTGTACTAATTTTTATATAATTGTACATTTTCATGAAATACCACTTGCAATAATTTTTTTATTTGAGAACATTGTAATAGATATTTTTACAAAAAAACCAATGTTTCGACGAAGACACAAAAATTTCTACGAATTTCTATTTCGACCAAGGGAAATTTATAAAAATCGACCAAACTGGCAAAAGTGATATTTATTAGTGACTAAAATGAACGTCATTTTTGCCAGTTTGGTCGATTTTTAAAAATTCCCCTTGGTTGATTACCACCGGCGCAAAAAACTACTCAAATTTCTATTTCAAGTCAATTTTTGTAGTCATTTATAGAAATTTTTGCCGCTAGGGCAATACGTACGTGTCCGTTATAAGGCATGTACGGTGTTGCAGCGTAACCAGCTCCGATGATAAACGCATCACGGCAAGAGTTTGATAGTATTTCCCGAATATTCCACGTTGCCATATCAGGCTGGGGAGTCGGGAAAAATCTCTCGATTTGTCCGACGTTTAGTATGTACGGATTGCCGTTTAATCCTGTTGAATTTTAAGCAGAATTAGCATTTCATTGAAATATTACTGATGTGTACTCACTAGATTTCTTACCTATTCCAGCAAGATTGAAGGGCTTTGTCGTCAAATAAGGACAGCGAACTATATCAATGTTCACCTCGCGGAAAAAGGTATTCATGTCACTTTGCAGAGCTGTCATTATACAAACAGTGACTGATGTTTTACATATAATATATTTGATGTAAATTATGAACGTTATATACAATATACGTACCTGACGCGACTTCCGACAGTGTAGTAAGCGGAAGGTCTACCTTAATTAATGAACACTTTGTAGAAGTGTTTGTCGGAGAACGTCCATTTGTCGCAAAATGTTCATTTCCCACTAGATTTTCCATAATGCTGAACTTGAATGTAGTGAACAATAGCCATGCACAACACATATAACAATTGAGAAACTGTTAAGTGGCACACAAGTGTATTTTAAAAATAGTTTACACAAAAACTATTTTTTCAATGCGACTTTTTTTGTGTAATTTATTAGAGGAAAGTCTCCTATTATGAGACAGGCTTCTAACGTGAAATAGCGGAGTTTCTCCTAAATTAGTAGGCATTATCTGTTGGTTCCACCATAAATTTCTTGCCACTGGAGTGAAATCTATTTAGTAGAGTTTGAAATTTCTGATTGAATTTGGACGGTGAAAACCTGCTATCTCATAATAGAGGACTTGAATTATTATGCATGTAACGTACATAAGAATAGAAGGTACGTTCTACGCATATTTTAATAGTGGTACATAAAGAGTTTGTCTCTTACAATGCTTTAGAAGTGATTTTTATTGTGTTAATATTGAAAGTGAAGTTAAAGAATCAAACACAAGACACACATTTTAACGGCAGTGTCGAGTATTATTAAATATTAATAATAATACATGTGTATGCGTGTACAAAGGACGGTTTATACTTACTTAATATATGAATATTTGTATAATTGCAGATTGTTTAATTTGTCAGCTTACACAGGCACGTCATAGTTTGGTGGCACGAACATGAGATGTGATACCAGCCACTTTGTCAAAAGCACTACTTCTTCGGAATAGAAAACGAAAACACGAACAGTAGGTCATCATAGCAGCCGTGAGTCAGTTGGAATAAATAAACATATTTTCATAAAGTCGGTAATAGCTTGGAAATTTACAAGTCAGTAAGAATCGAATACAAATGTATAAATGTTTAATTAAAACTGTTAATGATTGTCTCTGGACGATTAAAAAAATCTAAAATAAAACTAGATTTCCCAAAAGTTTTCGAAACTTATAAAATTCTACATTTTGAGAAGCTGTTTAACTATATATTAGCATTTTATCGCCCGAGTAGTTAAATTTTTCAAGTCAATCGTGTATTATCTTTGGAACAAAGGGAAATAGACGGTAACTGGTGTTTTGTAGAATATTTTTATTGGCTCAAGTCTCTTGTTTTATACAAAACATCTAACAAACACAGATGCTTCCGGCTGAATTTATTCCGACCTGCCTTTACGAAAAGCGGCTAATCTATCAATTTGCATCTAATGCACTTGTGTCTCGCAAATTCCCGAAGAGTACGCTACGTACAACGCGATTATCGGTTTGCTCAACAGTGCTCAATGTGGATGCATCTAATGGTTAATAAATACTAAGCTAACAATATTGGTAAATGTAATAAAATGTCGTGTATCCGTGTTTCCTTGTGTGTGTTTGGGCGTCTGTGTGTGTATGTGTGTATGTGTTGCGTGTAATACTCAACAACTCTGCGCTAAAGTTCAGCCGCGGACGGGGACATGAGGCTAGGCCATGGAAACCAATTTTACAATCTCTGCGTAACATTTTTCGCTATATACAAAAACGACCGCTAGATCCTGTAACTCGTGTCTGGACGAAGAGCTTCGCGTTCGTACCATTCGCTCTGTCTTTGACTCTACCTCATCGCGCCGATGGGTTTCACGTGGCTGCGAACTCTCTCTCTCTCTCCCTCTCCCTCTCCCTCTCCCTCTCCCTCTCCCTCTC